CTGGTGCATGGGTGGGGGCCAGTTGGCCTGCCCTGATAAGGGCCTTGGATCGGGGTTGGGGGGTTCCTGCTGGGGGATGGTGCTGGCCAGGTTGAGGGGCTGCAGGGTTTTCAGGCCAGTCCCATTTCCAATCAGGGTGGAGGTCCCCACTGGGGGCGGGGCCGGCCTGGGCGAGGGGCCGAGGGTGGTTTGCAGGCCATCCAAGCCCCCGATTGGGGTGGGGGTCCCTGCTGGGGGTGGGGCCGGCCTGGGCAAGGGGCTATGGGTGGTTTGCAGGCCGGCCACACGGCTTTGTCAGGAAGGATGTCCAGAATGATGCCCAGAAGACGTTCGGTCTATCTGGTCTAATTAGCATATTACCCTTTTATTAGTATAGATTATGTTTCTTCATTTGTAAAATAGGTTTATAGATCCTTTCTTCGTGGATAATAAGAGCACCTTTGCCTGGTGTCTAACACATACTAGGTCCCTAGTAAATTTTTTCACTAATTTTCATTGGTATTTATTTAGCATACTAGAGGCTCAGTGCACAAAATTCGTGCACTGGGTCGGGTGTCCCTCAGCCCAGCCTGCCCCCTCTCACAGTCCGGGAGCCCTCAGGGGATGTCCTACTGACAGTTTAGGCCTGCTACTCTGCGGGAGGTGACCGGCTGATCAGGGGAAGGCACCACTCCCCATCACCCCGCTGCTGCTGCCACTGCCGGCCGCTGCAGCTGCCAAGGTGTTTTCATCAACACAGACTCCATTCCCTTCACCACGAAAAAATGACAACTTTTTTTGGTATTTTCAAGATGTCTCTTTCATAGGATATGACATTTCTTTCTTTCTTTCTTTTTTTAATCCTCACCTGAGGCTATTTTTCCATTGATTTTTAGAGAGCGTGGAAAAGAGAGGGAAAGACAGAGAGAAGCATCAATGTGAGAGGGGCACTTTTATTGTTTGCCTCCTGCATGAGCCCTGACCTGGGCCCCAGCCAGGAAGGAGCCTGCAACCTAGGTACATGCCCTTGATCAGAATCAAACCCGGACCGTATGGTCCACAGGCCAAGGCTCTAACCACTGAGCAAACCGGCTAGGGTAGGATATGACTTTTCTTAGCCCCTCCAGCAGCGGACCTTCATTTTTACCTCCAAGAGTGAGGTGGAAAAACCCTAGATCATCTTCTGGGATTCTTATTACCCAGGTTACCAAGAACACTGTGAGTGGCATACCGGGAGCTTAGCCAGTGAGCGGTCAGAAAAGGTGTTTTCTCTGCAGCTCACACACAAAGGCAGGACTGCTGGTGTGCTGAGGCTGGAACAGGCCCCCTGTCTGTGTCCGCTCCAGGGCTGCCTGTCTCTGTCTCCATCTCTGCTCCAGGCCTCACGTGCGCACACACCTCCTCCTGACTGGTTGTGACTGTTACGGCGTCCCGACTAATTTGCAAATTACCTCTTTTTATATATATAGGTGTGTTTTTTTGTTTGTTTGTTTTTGTTTTTTTTTAAATATATTTTATTGATTTTTTACAGAGAGGAAGGGAGAGAGATAGAGAGTTAGAAACATCGATGAGAGAGAAACATCGATCAGCTGCCTCCTGCACATCTCCCACTGGGGATATGCCCGCAACCCAGGCACATGCCCCCGACCGGAATCGAACCCGGGACCCCTCAGTCTGCAGGCCGACACTCTATCCACTGAGCCAAACCGGTTTCGGCATATATAGGTGTTTTATAGAAATTTCAGTTAATGGCAAATAGTCATCATGCTGCATCATTATTATTTATGAATTATCCATTGTATATTGAGAGCACAATGTACTTAGAGAAACTGAAATTTTCAAACTCCTTGTGTATTTTATTAGCCACTTTTATGTCACTAAAATCGTCTAGTCACTTATTCAATTTTTGTTTATTCAGGGGGATTCAAGTACATAAGAAATAAATGTGCTAATTCCTGTTCTGGCAACATGGACAGAGTTAACACAGAACTTCTTTCTCCTACAAATATATAGAAATGCTGGATTAAATACGATTCAGCCCAATTTAAATACTTAGCTAAGCTACAGAGAGAAAGAGAGAGATTGTAAGAGAGGGAGGGAGGAAGGAAGGGAAGGAAGAAGGGAAGAAGGAAGGAAGGAGAGAGAAAGGGGAGAGGGAAGTCCTAGGTACCAAAAAGAGGAAGCATAACCAGAGCTTGGAGTGGACAAGCTGACACTATAGTTGCCCAGGGGGGTATTGGAACCAGATGTAGGCTCTAACAGCTAGAAGCTGGGTTTTTAATCTCAAACTTGGACAGAGATGTGGCCTCGGGTCAAGAGAGGTAGAAACTACAGAAACTGCCCACCTGGTCAGTAAGGCCACAAAGAAGCTTGCCATTTTTCAGAGTTATGTGTGGGAAAGGGGGGAAAAGTCTGTCATAAAAAATCAAAATCAAAACTCTAAACTTCTACCAGCCATGGTTATAAAGTCTTAATGTACACTACCTATATGGTACAAGAATCCTAATCCAAGAAATTAACTTAGAAAAAAATGGTTCTAAACCAGTGGAACCCCTTAATTGCCTGGTAGAAACAAATGCAAAAGTTCTCTGTAGAAATTTTTACACAGCCCTGGGTGCCTAGGATTCCTATGGAGCATGGTGTAGATGCAGCTCTAGCTGAAGATAAACTCACAATTAAAAATTAGAAAACACACAGAGAAATGTCTATACTAGGGAGAGAGTCGGAAGACATAACAGAAGGATTCCCAAGAACAACATGAAAGATACAACATAACAAGTGTGTTTTAAATAGAGATTTTTAAGGAATAAAAATTATATTAAAAGACTAAGGCTATCAAAAAGAGTAGGTGAATTTTTAAAAGAACCAAATAGAATATCTAGAAATTAAAAAAAAACACACATAATTATCACTATCAAAGACTTAGTTTGTGTTTCAAAAACTGGTTAGATACAAGTAAACAGAGAGTGAACTGAAATATAGAACTAAGGAAATCAGCTCAGAGTATACTGCTGAGAAAGTGAAACATGAAAAGTGAATGTATTATGATCATTTATAGTTGGTCACATTATAAATAGAAGGACTTTATATTAATATGATAGACCCATTAAAGAGTGGAAGAATGGACCTGATTTTTCACAAACTAGGGTTTGTGCAGCATATATTATTTCATTTGGCTGTGTGTACTGTGTGAAAGTGTTTGGGTTCATTTCCATGAAGTCCATGTGGAACCTTAGCAGGCTTAATCCTGGCACCACAAACGTGTATAATAAAAAACCAACAACCTTACAACTTTTGTCAAGCTGTTTGCCTGTACATTTGGGCTAGAAATTAAAAGAGGAGGTGGGAAAAGATATCCTTAAACCAGGCAATTAAATACAGTACCTCAGAAGACCAAGAACTAGAGAAGCCATTGTGAAATGATTACCACAATCAAGCTAATTAATATATCACCTTATGTAGTTACAATTTGTTTGTGTGTGTGTGTGCGTGTGTATATGGTAAGAAGACTTAACATCCACTCCGTTAGCAAATTTCAACTATATAATACTATATTATTATCTATAGTCACCATGCTGTACATTAAATCTCCAGAACTTACCTTCCCACATAATTACACATTTGTATCCTTTGACCAACATCAAAATCCTAGTAGGTGACCATTAAAATGTGTTTCTTGGTTCACACATTTTTTTTAACTAGAAAATCTCTTGAACAAAATGGCTGATTATTAATACAGTGCACATTAATAATACTCTTTAAAATGGGTAACAAAGAGGCAAATAAACCCAGGCTTAAGTAGAAAGATTACTAGCATTCTTTTTTTTTTTTAAATTGATTTGAGAGAGAGAGGGAAAGGGAGAAAGAAAGAAAGAAACACTGATTTGTTGTTCCACTTATTGATAAGTTCATTGATTGCTTCTTGTATGTGACCGGACTAGAGATCAAACCTCAACCTTGGTGTATCGGAGCAATGCTCTAACCACCTAAGCTTCCCGGCCAGGACCACTAGCGTTCTTGATTACATCTGGCTCCTCTTGGTTTACCAGTCCAGGACAAGAGACAGGTTATTGTTGTTTTTTCAGTCACAAATTTTCATTAATATGTATACATGTAATGTATTATAAATGTTAGTACAGCCCTCGCTGGTTTGGCTCAGTGGATAGAGCGTCAGCCTGCAGACTAAAGGGCCCCAGGTTCGATTCTGATTAAGGGCACATGCCTGGGTTGCGGGCTGGATCTCTAATTGAGGTTGTGCAGGAGGCAGCCAATTAACGATTCTCTCTCATCACTGATGTTTCTATCTCTCTCTCCCTCTCTTTTTCTCTGAAATCAGTAAAAATATTTTTTAGAAAACGTTAGTACAGTACTTGTTTTTTTGAAACAAAACTGTATTCTCTAACTCCAGATGTTAACTAATCTTCACGTGGAATTATTGCAGGATCAAATGCATACATTTGTTTTCTAATTTGTAATTTAGTAAAAATTATTTTTGCCTGCTTTTGGTAATTGTCCTAACGGACTTATTTGCTAGATATATTTACATATTATAATGCCATCAAAGTGAAGTTGTTTGTTACTATTCTTCTTCTTCTTCTTATTATTATTATTATTTTTTCACTGGGGGGGAAAAGTAGCAGGTAATTGGAAAAAATCAACCAATATTGAAAGAGTGTATCTTATAAGGCAAGGGAATAATATAAAATGGTATTACTGAATTTCAGGAAAATCATAGTTATTCTAAAAATGAGATAGGTGATTTTAATATAATAGAGAACAACTGCAATAATTCAGCATATAATAAAGATGTGTATAAAATTGGTTGATAAATTAACATCAGTCACTTTCTAATCTAGGAAATAGTTGTTGAGCTAGTCGAATTTATTGGTTTGGTTTTTTAATTAATGGAGGCAAACCAGCCCCAGGTTCTGACCTCCTCTTCAGTGATAAGAGCATAGACTTTAATATGAATCCACAGAGCCTTTTTACGTTTATTCTAAGAATATTCCATCATTCTTCAGAAGAAGAGGCTGCTCTAGGTGGTGCTGTTGCAGAATACAGAAGAGAAAAGCAAAAGTATGAAGCTCTGAGGAAGCAGCAGCCCAAGAAGGGAACTTCCCGGGAAGACCAGGTAATTTCACAAACTAAATTTATTGCCTTTTAACTGTCTTCAAGTATTGTTAATGGAGCCTAATTTGATTATACATCAGGGGACACACTATCTCTTAGCAATGAAAAAGCACATGTTTATATAGGGCGGGGTGCCAAGGACCTTGGCCACTCATGCAAAAGTCCAGAGGATAGAGTTCTTTCCACACATAGTAGATGCAAAGCCTAAACTTTCAGGTTTTAAATCTGTACTCCCATATCAAGCACGGGAGCCTCATAAAGCCACATATTATCAGTTTCTTGGGTGGAAACTCTGGCTAAGTGACCATTATGAAGTAGAGAAGTAGTGACGACGAAGGGCTCTTCTGGCCCAGCATCTTATAAGCTGACTAGCCAGATCCACTTGAAACTGCAGGTTGCCTGCAGAGAAGGCATTTGGTCTACTAGTTGACGTCTACTGTAAATCGTATTGCAAAATTCTGCTCAGCAAGTATTCCTGTTTCTTTAACTAGTAATATAGGAAGATTGCCAGAAGTCAGAGTAAAAAGAAATAGGGAATCAGCTCAACAATTTGAGAGTCCACCATACACACCATGCAGCACTTGTCCCTCAATAAAATAAATCTCCCTCAGTAGCCCTTCATGTTGAAAAGCTAAGGGGCAGACGAAAATCTTTTCTCTTTAGTGCTGCCATATATATATATGAGAACACACCATTTTAGATGTATAAATAAAATAGGCAAAATAAAAGTAAATTAAAAAGCTCAAGACTATTTGGATAAATAAATCTATCAGGAACTCTGCTATAAATGACACCTAATTCCCAATAACAAAGGAGCATGCATCATTACTTAGCATGAAAATAGTCATAGGGAAAGTTTAACAAGAAGTAAAGTATAGGAAATAATAATTGCAAATAACTAACTTATACAGTTTTCAAAAGAAATGGAACAGCAAATAAAATTAAGAAAAAGTACATTATTAACTTGCTTTCTTGGAGTCACACTGCAATGAATATACTACCAAAGATCTAAGGATTACTCTTATTCATGCATTCCTCTTTTTTCCTTCCTCACAAATAATTATTAAGAACTTACCATGTACTAATCACTGTATTTGGTGGTAAACAAGGTGGGCACATCCCTGCCCTCTCTGAGCTATCAGGAAAAAGAGCCAGTTAAACAGGTACAATAATACCAATAAAAAGGGGGAGCATTATGCCAGCTTAGGTACAGGGAACTATACCTGTACTTAAGCTGTATAGTAGTAGGACCGAACATGTCCTAAGAATGCGGGAAGGCCTTCCTGAGAAAATGTTTTCTAGGTTGAGCTTTGAAGTTTGAATAGGAGATGTGTGGCGCTAGACAAAAGGAACAGTTTAAGACAAGTCTTTGATCTCTTTGCAAAGAACGAAAAGATGTTAAGTATGACTGGAACATAAATGAGAAGGAGAGAGATGATACTGGAGAGGTAAGCAGAAGCCAGCTCATTCAAGGAAGGTATTTTTGAGCCTTAATAAGGAGTTTAGATTTACCCTAAGGGCAGTGGGCAGCCATCAAATGGAGGAAGTATTATGATCTCATTTGCAATTTGGAAAGATCGCTTCAACCCGGCCGCAGTAAGGAGACTGGACTGAACTGGGGCAGGACTGGAGACAGAGGCCAGTTGAGAAACCTTATGTGTAGATATGCACACACAGTTTCCGAAGGCGGGTCCTTTCAGAGCAGCTTCTCCGTGCTGGGAAGACCCTAGCGGTGCGGCAGGTGGTTGACCTGCCTTCGGTCAGACCAGTTCCCCTGTAGATGGCAAACAGAAATACCTCCATGCAGATCCTATCTTCTTTACCCTGTGCTGTAGCCCATTACTTTTGTGATGTTTGCTTTTCTGCCTAGTGTCTTCTCTTGCCTTTAGAATGCAGCTAGAGAAAGCCCAGCCTTGAATAGGAGAAGCTAAGCCAGGCCAAGAGGATGTTTTTTGTTGGTCATAGCCCCCGCTTCTTTGAGGAAATGCCAGTAGCACATTAACTGGCTCTGAAAACGGACTGCCTTGCCACTTTCGACTCAAGGAAAAAGATCCAGGTCTAGTGTAATTTGCTAGGGAGTTTTAAAATTTCATTTCACTAAGAAGTATCCTTTGTTTTCATGTTTCTTTATGCCCTCAGAAAAGCCTTTTCCAAGTATACAAAAGTCCACCATTACAAATTGATGGGATTTACCTTTAAGTGATAAATGATTGATTGATAGATAGATAGATAGATAGATAAATAGATAGATGATAGATAGATGAAAATAGATATTTATATAATATAGATATAGGTATTTAAGCACATACACACACAAAAACACATAAAAAACCTTTAAGAATATTTACCAAAATGTCAGCAATGGTTATTCTGAGTAGTTGTATAATATTTTTGTTTTGTTACTCTTTATTTTCTAATATTTCTACAGTAAACAAAATACAATAAAAGTAGATTTATTTTAATGAATAAGGTTTAAAAACAAGGGATGCTTTCTTTTCTGTTAAACGTTTGAAGAGCTTAGTCCTGCCCTAGCTGGTTTGGCTCAGTAGATACAGCGTCAGCCTGTGGACTGAAGGGTCCCAGGTTCGATTTCTGTCAAGGGCACATGCCTGGGTTGCGGACTTGATCCCCAGTATGGGGTGTGCAGGAGGCAGCCAATCAATGATTTTCATCATTTATGTTTCTGTCTCTCTCACCTCTCCCTTCCTCTTGAAATCAATAAAAATGTATTTTTTTTAAAAAAAGAGCTTAGTCCTATAATCTACTCTAGAGATGGATAAAATATTTAAACCCTAACCCACCAGGCAGCCCTCAGAATGCCCATAAGGGTATTCTACAGGACTTTATAGTTTTTCTCTCAAAATCATGTCATTCAGCAGTTACGGTGATGTGTATATTTTCAGCTGTTGTCTATGTGGGCATTAAATTTTGTGAAACATATAAAGCACATTTCACTATCATTTTTTAGCAATACTGCTTTTGCTTTTATTTTGACACCACCTGTCTTCATTAAGCTTAGGTTCTAGACCAGTAAAACCAACTTAATTTTTTCATGAACTGTGGTGTCTCGATGATATTTGGCAGATAAACTCTGGAGCCTTGCAATTTACTGTGACTCCTTACTATACCTGTTATTCACATATTGAACTATCATACAACTTTCTCCTTATGAAATATATTTTGGTACTAAATTCCATGTATCAATATTTTAATTAGATACTTGATTTTTATATATGGATAATACTTTATCCTGTTTTCTAATTATATTTTTTTAAAAACCGTAGAATAAAAATCTTTTTCAACTTCTTTTCTCTGCTCAAATTCTGGAGTAGGCTGTTAAAGTACAGCCCAGAGACAATGGAATTATCAAATTGTAAGCACTTGTTTCTGCTCATTCACAAAGGGCAAGGGAGACAAACGATAATCAAAGGAATGATCCCTTTTTTAAAAAAACATACTACACATGATATTTATATCCTACTTCTTTCACTTAACAATAGAATGAAATACTTCATGTATAGAATTTAGTAACATAATCATTGCTTTTTACCAAATGTATCTAGTTCTTTATGGATAGACTTTTAACATTTCCATTTTCCCACTTGGGTGACTGTTGCTGGAATGCACATCCTTCACATAAGTCATTTTCTGTGTCTCAGAGTATTTTTCTCCATGTATTCCCAGTATTGGAATTATTGAATCAAAGGGAATGATCACCTTAAAGTTTCTAGAACATAAAAATAGTTTTTAAAGATATCACTCCAGTGTACCCATCTTCCCAAAGTTAATGTGTCCATTTATTTCACCTTCCCCAGTATTGGTCCTTTTTTTTTTTACATTTTTAGGGAATTGTTCAATGAAAAATACTATGTTAGTATTTTGTTTTTTATTTTACACTAGAGGCCTGATACATGAAATTCGTGCAAGGGGCTCAGTCCTCGCAGCCACAGGGGCTTGCCTCGGCCCTTGCAGCCCCAACTTTGTCCGAAGGTCGTCCAGAAGGATGTTCAGCTGTCCGGTCTAATTAGCATATTACACTTTTATTGTTATAAATATCTTAATGACGTACCTCCCTGTTTTGTGGACAGTAAAAAGTTAACTATTAGTAACAAGCATGCATGTGAAAATTTAAGTATCTTCTATATAAGCAAATTTATGTTCTCCAAGTAAGAAAATAATCATGTATCTCTGAGGTAAAATGTTGGTGCAGATGCAAATAGGGTAATGTCAGGGATTGTAAATATCAATCACTGTTGCAGCAGGAAGGCAGTTTTGTTATTTTCCTTCAAAAGTAGAAGTTTATCTAAGTGTTTTCCACCCTGGTAGGATATTTTTTCTAACAAATATAAGTGTGTTTTCTAAAGTTACATTTATCCTTATCAAAAAATGTATTCTTATTTCAGACCCTTGCGCTGCTAAACCAGTTTAAATCTAAACTCACGCAAGCAATTGCTGAAACTCCTGAAGACAACGTTTCTGAAATGGAAGTAGAAGATGATGAAGGATGGTAAGGGCTTTGATTTCTTTCTGTTCACCAAGAACAAAGAGGCTCAGAGCAGAGACACTTCCACTACATCATCCCTTTGTTTTCAAACTTTGCCTTCAATCATACCCTCCTTGTTATAGGGCAGTGGTTCTCAACCTGTGGGTAACGACCCCTTTGGCGGTTGAACGACCCTTTCACAGGGGTCGCCTAAGGCCATCCTGCATATCAGATATTTACATTATGATTCATAACAGTAGCAACATCACAGTTCTGAAGTAGCAACGAAAATAATTTTATGGTTGGGTCACAACATGAGGAACTGTATTTAAGGGGCCAGAAGGTTGAGAACCACTGTTGTAGGGGCTCATCACCCTTTACTTCATTTCACTTTGCTAAGCATTTATTGAGTGCCTACTGTGATCCCAGCTTTGTGCTAACCAGTGCAAAATACACAAGATGTATAGGACACTATCCCTGCCCTACATTATCTGCTATTGATAAGACTCACGTTAAACAACTAAAAAAACAGCCTTAAAAGATTCTAAATCATTAATGTTTTTACACTTTCCCACAAACATTTTAGAAATCACTAATCCATTTCATAATCCTACAAGTTTCTCTTCAAATTTATTACCTACAGGATCCTAGGAATACATGCATAGTTAACTTATTTTTATCTTTGGATATTTTTCAGCTGTTTAAGACACTGATAAGAAATAAAGGAATTAATGACTTGTATGCATCCTGTGCTTAGCACTTTATCCTATACTGGCAAAAAGAAAGAAAAAAAGAATAAGAATTGTGTTTTCCCTTATCACACTCCTCTGCCCTTCAGTTGACTTCACATGTAGTATATTAGCCTCCCCACACCTACTGCCTCCATCTCCCACTGCACCCTGGCTCAGGCACATTGCTGCGTGCAAGCCAGCAGGTCACCCCCACACATGATTCATCGCTGGAGCCTCTGAACTGTCACATGTGCCATTACCCCAACCCAGAATCGTAGCCACACTCCTCTCTGCCAGACAGCATCTCTCCCTATTTCAAAACTCTGTTCAGCACTCCCATCCTCCAGAAAACCAGTCAGCAAGATTTGTGGTGCACTCACAAATCTAGAGGGTGGAGGAAAGAGGCTGGGACACACGTTTAAAAAGACATAAAAACACTCATTAAGAAAACATTTAAGCAAATAAGACTCGGCAGCTATATATAACTTGAATCAAAAGGGCTGAGAGGAGGATGATTTGAATGCAATGAATCCTAGCTACTCCAGGACCCTGAAAGTACTTGTGTATTTCTCTATATATGGTTTCTGTATGAGTTGAGTTGTGCCAAAATTTTTTTAAAGCCCTGGGTCTCTCTTAATAGGTTTGTATTACTTACATATTTGTTTATACTTAAATTCTAAGTTGCTTAAAGACAGAAGCTGGCTTTTCCCATAATTCTATGCCAGAGGTGAAGGTTCAGTGAGTGTTGATTAACCCATAGAGATAAATGCACATTGCATAGCATAGCACTTTCTGTTCTTTATATGACTGGACATGTTTAGTTCTATTTTGGATTCCATGAATGTCTCAAAATATCTTTCAAATGTTTTGGGTTCAGTCACCACACACACAAAAAATGTTTTTCCAACTTTTCTTCCCCTTATTTTTGAATCCATATGCATTTTTTAAGGAAATATGATCCATGTGTTTCTGATTCATTTACACTTAACTCATCAGGAGGGTGTTTTGTAAGAGCAGTTTGATGCCCAATACGTTTTTTTTTAACTTTTTATAAGCCATTTAAGTCCTTTTTTATTGAACAGGAAAGTCACCAACAAATTTAAACCCAGAAGTTCCATTTGAAACTCATAACCCACAGGATTCAAATTTACTTTCAACTTGGCAAGACCATTTAACTTCCCAAGGTTGTCCCTCGCCCCTTTGGCGCAGTATTTTCTCATTTTGAATTCCTCATTAGCTTCAGATATCAATTAGTGTCATTATTGTTTTTGATGTACTTTCACAATACAACCACTGTTCTAACATACTCATTAGAAAATTAAACAAATGAGGAAACTTCACTAGATAGGGGGGAAATCACTGGTCAATGATGTTGGCCAGTCCTCAGAGAGCAAAAATAAGTGGCAAAGGGAAAGCAAACATGTTAAAGGAGCCATTACCATGTCTTCCGGGGTTCATTTCTGCCTGTAATTGCAACCTCCTAAACAGAAAATCAGTACTGTGCACTATGTACCTACACATTTTTCTGGTATTTGCTTTTTCTAATATTTAATAAAATGCCTTTAGTATTCAAGGCACTATACAGAATCATATATAATGCCTGGGTCCCCTGTATAATGCCCTCTTGTTGAAATATAGACTATTGAAATTTTGTAGCCTGATAAGGAACCACATCATTTCTGTTCATAAATAAACCAGTTCGGCTTTATCAAGTCTCTGGTGATTTAGATCATCTCTCGTAAAGTATATATTGCACTCAGAAGAGAAGTCTTGTATTCACAATGATTTATAGCAAATATTAGAAGTATATGGCATGTGCCTGTGTGTTATGCATAAATTACACAGCTTCCAGAGTATTTTGTAGGTCACGGTTGCCGCTTTTCTCAGAAGTGAAAGTCAGCCAGTGCTGTAGCACTGTCAGGGTCTGTTATCTGAGGTAAAATGATTGCTTCTGAGACATTTTTATGTGTCCGCATGAGTGACCACACATTGAGGGATCATTTTCATTTTCTGTCAAGATAGAAACCATTACCAATTTGTTATGTTTTCTTTTACTTGGCAAACTGTTCTATTTGCATTTTTGGCTGGGCTGCTGTATTGGCATAGTATACAACAGACATTTGGGTACCATTCAGCAGCATTCTATTTTTTATGCAAAAAAAAAAAAAAAAGTAGGAAGGGGAGGGAAAGAAAAGAAATATGATTCTATTGTAAACACTATATATGGTGTTTGATAATTATTCCCAGATTTCACTGTCTAGCAAGGCATTTAAAGAAGTGTTATTAGTAGATCTAAGCTGAAATGCATGATAGAAATTTTTCACTCAAAATTATTAGGATTCTCCCCTTTGTTGGGATATATATTGCCAATATTTGGTGGCAATGATGGGCACCAGATTCCAGGGTAGCAGCAAGGGCCTGTTTGCCACTACATTCCTTCTCCTCACAGCATTGCATTCTCATATAGAATCCTTTTCCAAGCATGGATTTTATAAAACCGATTAGATACATGGCTGGAGTCATCAGCCAAAGGATTCATATGACCATGTGGATGAAGTCCATATGTCATTTTGGGTTTGTTTAGATAAAGCTTGGTTAGCTCCCAAAAAAGTTTTGAGAGAGCTGTGTCTGACAAGGCAGTCAAGAGACTTATAAAAAAGAAAGCCACCTGCTCCTTACGCAACAAAATCAGCATTCCAGGAAGAGGAGAAAAATTAAATCTATGAGAGGATATTGCGATCCTGTGAGTCTTAACTACTCACTACTATGTTCCATTAAAAATTCTTTCCAGATAGTTAAGTCTAAGAGTAACCTAAAGCTTTACAACAAATGGACATGAAAAACAATGCACAAGGGAGGTCTGTCTGCCTCCTCGTTATCTATCTGCCCTCACCACTTTCCCATAGTACCTACAGTATTCAGTATTGTAAGAGTCAGAAAAGCACTAACAATCAATTGCATGGTTGCCTCCAGTAAACATTTTAATATTTTTATTATATAGGGAAAATATGTTTACTGTAGAAAAGCCAGACTCCTCCCAAAAAAAGTAAATAAAAATCACATGTGATCTAAAACTCAATAATAAATACCATTAATTTATACATGTTAAACCCCTCCAGATATTTTTATGTGGAGACATATTTTAAGCAGAAACGTGATCATATAATACTACAACTTTATAACTTGCTTTTCCCCTCAGCAATATATAGTGAATACTTTTCCTTGCCATATATAATTTTATGATATAATTTTAATATTTTGTTTTTATGGCCATCTAGTATTCCAAAATATGATGAACCACAATTTTCTTGATCAACTTCATGTTGGATGTTTAGGCTCTTTCCAGTTTTTTTCTTTTTTTATTGTACACTACATTGTAATAAACATCCTCCTATCTTTGTCGTTGCCAATTTCCTCAGGATAAATTTCTAAAACTGAAATTCTTAGTGCAGTGGTTCTCAACCTTCCTAATGCTGCGACCCTTTAATACAATTCCTCATGTTGTGGTGACCCCCCCAACCATAAAATTATTTTTGTTGCTACTTCATAACTGTAATTTTGCTACTGTTATGAATCGTAATGTAAATATCGGATATGCAGGATGTATTTTCATTGTTCGCGATCCACAGGTTGAGAATCGCTGTCTTGATGGGTATGCATGTTCGACTTCTGCAAAGTATTTTCAAATGGCCCTCCCAAAATGTCATTCCAATTCATACTCCCAAGTAAATATCATTTCTATGACTTGCTTTTGGGCTGTTAGTTTCTCAAGACTTAAGTAAGGTACTTTGCAGTGCTTAGTGAAAGAGTAATATTTTCAGAGAAATGCTTTGCCTTTGAAAACTTTTTAAAAATACGAAGCCTGATTTCCTTCTGTTTTTAATAAAGCAGGTACAGATTTCAATGTATCTCTTCTTGAGATGCTTAGCTCATGGGGCTTTTCTTGTTTGACTATTAATAGGATAAATTACACTCATTGATTTTCAAATCTTAAATGGCCTTGCAGTCATGTAATAAACCACACTTGATCGTGATGTGTTTCCCTTTTTAATTTGCTGAATCAAACTTACTAATACTTTGTTGATGATGTCTGTATCTGTGTTCATGAGTAATACTACTCTTTACTTTTCTGCTGTTTTTGTCTGGTAGGGGTATCTGGGTAATACTGGCCTCATAAAATAAGGAAAGTGGTTCCTCCTCTTGTATTTTCTGGAAAAAAGCAAGATTACATAAAATTGGTGTTATTTTTTCTTTAAATATTTGGTGCAATTTTCCAGTGAAACCAGATGAATA